ACGGGAGCGCCGCCACACTTCCCAAGCGGCGCACTATCCAGTGCGCCACTGGGCCGGCCCAAAAGCTTGTGAATTTTAATAGATTATTCCAAATTCTCTAAAGAAGCACATGACTTAAAGGAGTCCTAAATTGAGTCTTTGTATAAAGCAAATGATCCTTCATTAAAATATCTTATCTTCTTATTCCTGCTTCCTAAGTTCAAAATCTTCAAACTGAGTAGTCTTGAAATACAACCTGTGGTATGACATTTATTTATGCTCAATTTCCTTCCACAGAGTGGTCGAGGCAGTTAAATAGACAGCCTTGATTCTGAGGTATGTCCCCTTAGAAAGCTGGCTAGTTTCTTTGACCCCCTAATACTTTCCTTATGACTCATTTATGTGTTTTTCTACTGAGGATCCCAAAGTAGTAAGGATGGTTCATCCCTGCCAGTTTGTAAGGTCTGTGGGTATAATACATGTTGCTTTTCTTTTTTTTTATTGTGGTAAAAATACATAATATTTATCACTTTAACTGTTCATAAGTGTACAATTCAGTGGCATTAAATACGTCCATGATATTGTGTAACCATTTCCAATAAAAACTGTGTACCTATTAAACAATAACTGCCTTTTCCTCCCTTCCCTCAACCCCTGGTAACCTCTCTTCTACTTTCTCTCTCTATGAATTAATGTACATTGTTTTTTTTTTTATTCTACTTTTTTTTATTGTGGTAAAAAAACACATAAGATAAAATTTACCATCTTAACCATTTTTACATATACAGTTCACTAGTGTTAAATATATTAGCATTGTTATGCGGCGGAGCTCCAGAACTTTTTTATCCTGCAAATCTGAAACTCTATACCCATTATACAACAACTCCCCTTTTTCCCCTTCCCCTAGACCCTGGTGACCACCATTGTACTTTCTGCTTCTATGAATTTTACTACTTTAGATACCTCATGTAAGTGAAATCATACATTTCTCTTTTTGTGTCTGGCTTATTTCACTTAGCATAATGCCCTCGAAGTTCTTCCATTTTATAGCATGTGACGGAATTGCCTTCCCTTTTAAGGCTGAATAGTATTTCATTTTATGTATGCACCACATTTTGTTTACCCATTCATCTGTTGATGGATACTTGATTGTGTTTACCTCTCGGCTATTATGAATAGTGCTGCTGTAAATATGGGTTTGCAAATATCTCTTCAAGACCCTGTTTTCAATTCTTTTGGACATACACCAAAAGTGGAATTGCTAGACCTGTTTTTTAAATTTTTTGAGGAATCTTCCGATTGTTTCCTATAGCAGTTGTACCATTTTATCATCCCATCAATAGTGCATGAGGGCTTTAATTTCTCCACATTTTTTGCCAGTACTTATTTTCTGTTTTTTTTGGTTATTTTTTTTTTATAGCTGTCCTAATAGGTGTGCATGTACATTGCTTTTTATAATTTCTTTTTCTTCTCCTCTTTCCTCTCAGCCTGGCGTGGGAAGGCAGGATCGTGGTGGTGGGATTTGCTGGAGGAAACATTGCTTCTATGCCAACCAACCTTCTGCTCCTAAAGAATATCTCTGCCATGGGGCTGTACTATGGTCAATACCGAGACCAGAACTTTCCTGTATTCTCAAAGAACCTCTCCTCAGCTCTTCAGTACTGCCAGGAAGGGCGCATCCAGCCATATGTCGGAAAGGTTTTTAAGCTGGAGGAGGTGAGACACTCTTAAGGGAAGTGATGCGAATAAGGCCAGGAAATAATTTGTGTCAAACTACTGGATAGTTTATCTCTGGATACTGTACATCTTTTTATGGAATTAAAAGGTGAAACTGCAGCACAGAATAGTGGGGTCTCATAGGCTGCAGGGCAATAGGATTTCTCCCAGCCTCTGGATTGTATGGTTGTAGACTCAGGCGCAGTATGAATCTGAATCTGTGAAGGCCATGTGAAGCTGAATTTTGAGAGCTCTATTTACATCACTGATGTCTCAAATAGAGGGAAGTTATGGTACTTTAGAAAATAATTTACACATGTTGATATGAACCTTGAACTCCACAATATACAAGCCTAAGAAAGAAGCACTTGACTTGACCTTTGATTTTAAAATATAGCCATTTTAAAGTACAACCAGATGATCTAAGCTGGGTCCTGTGAACAGCACACTAAATCTGCCTGGGATCATAAGACTGTAATTTATCCGTTAATCACTGTAGTTAATTTTGTTGGCTATTCACTTCCTTTTTTCATTCGCCCACAGTCTCATTAATGTGGCTTAAACTTCCTCCGAAGTGTACTTGTGTGCATGCATATGCAATATAGTTGTAAATGTGAATCTGTTTGGCATTCACTGTAAAGTCTTGTTTTTTTCATTTTTTTATTTTTTGGTGGCTGGTCAGTACAGGGATCCAAATCCTTGACCTTGGTTTTTTAACAGCATCCTCTAACCAACTGATCTGACTGGCCAGCCAACACTTTGAAATCTTCACTATTGTTTTGTTGGCTTAATTTGTTTTAATGTTCAGAATGTTTTGGTAACTCTAGTCAGCCATAGATGGGGGAGATGTTTTGTTCAAATGCAGATTAGTGGCGCCCAAGCTGTCAGTGCCAGACTTCATTGCTTACCAGCCTTCCATTTTTATGTATTTTCCTGTGATGAGGCACATTCTCTTCAAATACGGTTTACTTTCTTCTTTATCTTTTCGGGTATGTGAGTCGAGAAGATAGTGTTCAATGGTAAAGAGAACCTGACTGGCCATTAGAAAACTGGTTGGATTCTAATTCCAGCTTTGTACCTCCAGCCCTGCAATAGTGTGGAAGTCCCCTCACCTTTCTGACCTTCAGTTTCCACATCTCTCAAATGAAGGGATAGGACATTATCAGTGGCATTCAGACTGTGCTTCAGGAGCCACAGTAGGGATGTGGGGGTGAGCAGGTGTAGACTTAAGCTGTTTAGGCTCTGGGATCCTGTCCCTGCTGGGGCCTGACTAGCTGCACATTTTCACTTTTTTGTTCATATTTTTCTTTTAAGAAAAGGTCTTGGGGCTTAACTTGAAAACCACCAATGTAGATAATTTCCAGGTCCTCTTCCATCTTGTGGCTTTTATCACGGGACTTTAAAACTGAAATTTGCTTCACCTGAGGCTATGCCTGCTGATAGAGGATAAGGACAATTAGGCAGTATAGGAGTGGACACAAGTGTTAGTTTGAAAGGTCTTTTCTCTTTGTTGATGTGTTTTAGGTGCTGCTCAGGCATGAAAGAAAGCCAGAGGTGGATTATCATTTGAATTATCCACATTGAAGTTCTGTCTTCTCTTAAACACACATTAACTGTGTAATTACTAACCTCCTGTCAGCTTCCATTTGTCCTTCTCCTTTCCAGTGAGTGTTGTGCACGTGGGATTTTTATAGTTCTTTCCACTTTGCTGACCTCGGTGTGACAGGTGGCTCTGGGTGGCCAGCTCCCTAACACCTTTCAAGCTTCTCATTCACACACCACCCATTTACTATTTCTTCTCTTTCTGCTTCTTTCAATATGCAAACTATTGAGAGGAATAATAATAATAATAGTAATGGCAGTTCACATATATTTGGTGCTTACTATGGGTCAAGAACTATGCTAAGTACATTGCATGCACTTTCTCATTTAATCTTCTCAACAACCTTTTGAGGTATGAACCATTTTTATCACATTTTACAAATGAAGAAATCAGGACTTGTAGAGGTGAAGAAACCTGTCCACTGATTTGTAGTAAGTAACAGAGTCCTGATTTATAATAAGTAACAGAGTCCTAGGCAGTCTGATGCCAGTATCTGGGCTCGGTATGGCTGTGTCACACTCTACTCAAGCCAGGAAGTCACTTCTTAGAAACCTTATCTGTAGTATGGAGTTTATTTATCTATCACAGAATGATGTATGTGAAAGAACTATCTTTTAGGTAAAATGACGGGGACTCTTGTATTTTTCTTTTTTTTTTTTTGTCTTTTTCCGTGTCCGGAAACGGATCGCAACCCTCAGTGTTGCCCCCGCACCGGACCGGGGACCGGCAACGGGACCGCAACCCTCGGCGTTGCTCCCACGCCTCGCTCAGCCAGTGAGCGGGAACCAGTCTGTATGTGGGATCCGAACCCTCGGACGGGAGCGCCGCTGCACTTCCCAAGCGGCGCACTTATCCAGTCCACCACCGGGCCGGCCCCGACTCTTGTATTTTTCTGAGCAGACCCAGAATTAATTCATTTTGTTCTTTTAAAGTGAAGATGGTTAAATGAATATATAATTAATAGTCCTAGGCAGTCTGATGCCAGTATCTGGGCTCGGTATGGCTGTGTCACACTCTACTCAAGCCAGGAAGTCACTTCTTAGAAACCTTATCTGTAGTATGGAGTTTATTTATCTATCACAGAATGATGTATGTGAAAGAACTATCTTTTAGGTAAAATGACGACTTCCCAAGCGGCGCACTTATCCAGTCCACCACCGGGCCGGCCCCGACTCTTGTATTTTTCTGAGCAGACCCAGAATTAATTCATTTTGTTCTTTTAAAGTGAAGATTGGGACTCTTGTATTTTTCTGAGCAGACCCAGAATTAATTCATTTTGTTCTTTTAAAGTGAAGATGGTTAAATGAATATATAATTAATTTCACTGAACTCTAAAGCCTGGGTGATTTTTTTCATGTAAATTAGTTAACATACCAGAAAAAATTATTTATCAGAACCTCTTGGGGCTTAGAAAATGATCACTGTACATGTATGTAGTATCAGAAATATTGATGCTTCCTAGCTGGTATTATCTCCTGAATATGGGGACTTATAGATTTGACCTTGATAGTAGATATTAATATGACCACAGAGTTCACACCATAGCCATCTTAATAGGTAGCACTTCTGCTTCTCCTTTACGTGCTTGTAATTACTGTTCAATGCCCATCTTTCCCATAGAGCATAAGCTCCAGGCAGGCAGGGGCCATGTGCTGGCTGCACCTCTATATCGCCAGGTTCTGGCTCTCTTCACATGTCTGTTGAATGACTGATTGAGAGTGTGGGGCTCTGGGGTCAGGCCACAAGAGTTCAGACCCTGGATTTGGGCAAATTGCACATCTTTGTGCCTTAGTTTCCTCATCTGTAAGGGGGGTAGTAATATACCCTACTTCCTAGGGTGGTTATGAGGATTAAATCAGATAATACATGTAAAAGCACATGGTGAATTTAGTAACTTTATAAAAGCTTAATATGTCTTCACTGTAGAAAGCAGAGTTGAGCTTTTTCAGTTCCCCTGAACTGTACCATGTTTACATTGACATCTCAGAGGGCAGAATTAGAGAAAAGGTCTTTAGATTTTGAATTTTAATTAGAATTTATTGTTTTCTGAATGGTATGTCTGTACCGTGGTGGGTGGATCATGAGTTGGCCCCATGATCTGTTCAGAGGATGGCTTTATCTAGATGTGCAGAGTCTGCTTTCTGTGCAGAGCTGCCCACACATCTCAACCTCACACAGTATTAAACTCCACAGATCTGAACTTGTTTATTACTTAAAGGTCAGATGAGATCACCACATGAACAGAATTAATGGACAGAGATTGTTTGCTTGAAGTTTCCTCAGTGTATCTATCTGTGGAATATTCTTAAAAATGAAACTACTGTTTTAGTTTGGATGGTGTGTTAATTATAGCCCATCGTTCCAGACCCAGTTTATGGAACTCCCCATGTCTGCTGGACCTACTTGCCCCAGGCCTTGGCCACCTGGCCACTTGTTGTGCTTCCCCAGTGGTGGCTTCTGCAGTCCATCCTGCCAGTCACACAGCCCAGACCACTGTCCCCAGGGCACATCTCGTAACACTGTTGATGGTCTCCTGCCTCCATTGTGTCATCAGGCAGGAGCTGCTGCAGCTCTGATACAGAGTTTTGAGCCAAGTGGACCATTGAAGCCTCTGGCTTCCCCAGAGACTATATACAGGGTCTGGTAATGCAGTCCAGAATGTAGGGAGTACACCCCTTGTGGCAAGCTGTGATGAATTAAAGACAGGAGATAAAGTGCTCCCCTTTTCTCCTCCCAGTCGACTGCTTCATATGGCCTCTGCAGAGGTCCCATGTGAACAGCCAGGTGCATGTCCCCCTGAAGCAACCACCAGTTCAGGATCAGTAACACACCACCTTGTAGTTTCTCTCCTTCTTTCCTTGATTCACTGCACTTTTCCCTTGTCCTTCTCTCCCTGAGATTTCAACCCTCATTGAAGCATTAGGGCATATGTTTTGATTAGGCCTTATTTTCTGAGGGACCCAAGCTAACACTTAACCTTGAAAATTTATTTATTTTTGTGTTTAGTGATACATTGCCTGACTTTCTTTTCAGTCAAGTTTATTGAGATATAATCTGCATATAGTAAAATCCACCCTTTTTGGGTGTACCGTTCTCTGAATTTTGACAAATATATATAGTCATATAACCACCCCACCATAATGAAGATATAAGAACATTTTCATCACCCCAAAAAGTTATCTTGTGCCCTTGATAATCAATTTCCTTTTCCTGCCCCACAGCTCCTGGCAACTACTGATCCGTTTCCTCTCCCTGTGATTTTGCCTTTTCCAGAATGTCATATAAATGGACTCATATAGTACTTAGCCTTTTGAGTCTGGCTTCTGTTACTTTGCCTAATGCTTCCGAGGTTCATGTCGTTGCACATATCAGTAGTCAATTTCTTTTTATCGCTGAA